GTGTGTCTGATGATTCAACGTTTGTTCCTTTGGATGATATTCAGGCTGATGATCGCTTGAATTATGTTGAGAGACCAGTGACGATCTTGGATTGGAAGACGAAGGCCTTGCACGAGAAGGTAGTGTCTTTGGTCAAGGTTCAGTGGCAGCATCGGAGAGGTTCCGAATGAACTTGGGAACCCGAGTCAGAGATGCGAGAGCACTACCCCGAGTTAATCGCGACAACGAACTTCGAGGACCAAGTCTGAGCCAAGTGGGGTAGAATTGTAACACCTCGATTTCCAAGTATTTTACCTTTTGACCCTTGATATGAGAAATGTTTGCAAATTGGTCAAAGACGAGACTTAAGTGGAAAACACACACAGCTTGAGTATGTTAGGCGTACGTGGCCTTGACCAAACCCTAATATTTAGGGTTTGTGTACTATTTATTCATCCTTAACTCTCAAGACTCCTTTTTTTCATCAACCTCCAACCCCATTTCAACCCCTTTCAAACCCTAATCTCTTGAGTGAAGCAATCTTGACCTTGAGTGTGCATTTTGGTCCCATAAGCTTGGTATTATGAGTATGGGTTACTCTAATTCATATGAGTTATCCTTTCAGACGTTTTTGGAGTGCTTAGAAGAATAAAAATGTAATCTTGGTCATTAGTTTCCTTCCATGCATGATCTAGGATGTCTTAATGAATTGATGTCTTAATGAGTTAAGAGGTTAGGGGTTTTGGTATTGAGTACTTATTAGCCTTGCAAGACCATAAAGTTGGAAACTTTATGGTTAAGGACATCATTTGAGGACTAGATCTGGATTTTGGACAAAAGAGCTTAAGGATTAAGCTATTAATAGAAGGAATATGTGGTAGCAGCGTACGTTGGGTGTACTTGTGGTATGCTGCGCGTATGTGGTCAACCAATGCGTTTTTGGTCAAGATCTGTATACGCTAAGCGTACAAGCTGACTACGATGACATACTCAGCTGAGTTGACTTGGTTGAATTTTTGAATTTGACTAGGATTTGACCAAGTTTGACCTAAGGGTATTTTGGGTTGTAGTTGAGATTTGTCACTATCTGATGTATAAGTGACTGTTAGAGCTGATATTCGGAGTAGTGACCTATTCAACTATATGTTCAGACTGAGAGGTGAGTTTTTCTCACTGTACTTATGGGTCCAAGGCACCAATGCCGACCCACTAAATTATGTATCCTAGTATAGAGGATGTTTCTATGTTGCAGTGATCTATTAGATCTGTGTCCTGGTATATAGGATGTTGCTTTGTGGTAATGATCTGTAGATTTGCCTGTTTGTCTATTGACTGGTCATATGTTTATATGTTGTTGGATATATGTTATTTGTTATGTATATGTCGACATGGTATGGTGGGGTTGAGACTGTACTGCTTTGTGTTGTTAGTCAACAAACCCAGGCAAGCCAACCAGTAGGTTGTTGGGCTGGGGCATTCTAAACAGAAGGTTGTGGGTCAGGGGTAATCAAACCAGGAGGTTGTGGACCCGGTATATACTTTGGGAGAAATCACTAAGCTTTGGCTTACAGTTTTTGGTTATGGTTTCAGTTACTTCAGATGATCGGGACAAGGCGAAGGAGTGATCGTGCACATCCTTCAGATTTTATGATATTGGATTTCAGGATACTCTGAAAATTTTACCGTTGATTTTTGGGATGTTACAATGTTTTTTTTGATGTTACAACTTCCATTATAATGTTTTGTAGTGCATAACACCAGCCTTTCTCTTCTATGCTGTATGGTATGGAAAATATTTATAAATCTATTGCATTATGGATTGATTTTATGTAGCGGTAACAGTTGATGATACGAAACGACAAAAATGCACGATATGAAACGAAATTGAGACGAAACTGGAATTCGAATTTATGTTCGTGTCGTGTTTGTGTAAAGTTAAAAAAACATGATGTCGTGTCTTGTCGTATTCATGTTCAAATTTCGACACAAATTTGTCACGATTTAACATTTGTTTTTCGTGTTTATCGTGTTATGTATGGTTAAGTATTAATCAAATAAACTAATTGTTATTTATGTCATCTTTGTCGTGTTGATCGTTTTTTAATTGGTTCGTTTTCATGTTAGATAAAAAAAATATGACATCGAATCGTGTTCGTTTTACGTAAAACATTGTCGTGTTGTGTCGTGTTAGACAAAAACGACACGATTGCTTGATTTGGCACCCCAAATTTTATGTTGGTTTAAAAACTTCTTTAAACGATATGGACAATTCGACACTAAGAAAAACCATAAATCCTAGAAACAGGAATATAGAATGCAAACATCTCAATTTTGAAATTTGAAGTTGGTGACACATTTTTTTAAATTGACATAAATATTTTTTCATCGTAAGTTCTTTCGAAAATTTTGTTTTTGTTTTGTTTTTTTTTTTTGTCTTAAAAAAGCTTGAATCACATAAGTGTTCAAATTTTAGAATAAGATGGCAAAATCCAAATTTTTCAAAAACCCAATTTATTTTTAAACTGAATATCAGAAATGGTCTTTATTAAGGTCTTTATAGTTTAATATTACAATTTTAGTCAAAGTTTTCAATTATATACATATTAATTCTTATGAGGTTGGTGAAGTTGGTGAACAGGAATGTATTGTAATTTGAAACTTGGCCACACCGTTCTGCCGGTTTAACATAATTGCCACGGTATTTTTGTATTTCACACTTACCTCCCTTAACATCTTTTTCTATTCTTTTCCAGCTTCAGACTTTGGGCAGACGTATTTTAAAAATTACCATTTTCGTCCCTATACCACACGTCTTTTACATCTGCTTCCTCCACCGTTTTTCTCAGCCAATCGTCTGCTTCACCGCCATACATATGGATTAAATCCATTCTCCACCGTCTCTCTCCCTCGAAACCCTTCAATTCTCATCCGGCGCAGATCTGTTACGACGCCCATATTGAAGACGGTCGACGGTCATGATGGTGACTGACGTTAGCTGTTGCTGGCCATCGACGACTTGTGAAGGTGCAGCAGTCGGAGACCAGTGGTTGGCTGGTGGTGGTTTGGATCAAGTCGCCGATGGCAGCGACGCATGAGGAGAAGGAAATAGAGGTCGACGATCGTTGTTGGTGCCTTTAACGAACATTGTTGTTCTGAGTCGCTTCGTAGCAGAGAACGGTATCCCGGAGGTGCTTCGTCGGCTTTTAGCGAAGAGATTATCAGGATTGGAGGAAGCCATGAGAATACGAAGGGAATATGAGCAACAAACTTCAACATCAATTAAACGAAGAACGCCTTAAAGGTGTCTAAAGGTATCACCACGTCTTCCTGTTCCTGATCACATACATAAGCTTCCTTGCGTAAGCACAAAATTGTTATCAGAGACTTCAAGCGACTTCCAAATTCACGATGAAGAAGGCATGCTCGCATGAGAGCTTCTTGTGAGCTCGCTCGTATATATTGCTCTTGAGCAGTCAGGAGCTTTAGTTGGGGTAAGAACGTGAACTAAACCTAATCTTCATATCCACTTCAAATAATCTGCAAATTAATGGAATTCTGTAAATCTACCAGCCATCAGTGACAACTACTGAGATTGATAAAGTAGTTCACCAATTGATTATCGAGAATTGTGCTTACCCTTCAACTCTTGGCTATGGTGGATTTCCAAAAAGCGTGTGCACGTCAGTTAACGAGTGTATGTGTCATGGGATACCTGATTCCGGTCAATTACAGGTTCCATTCCATCCTTTTAGGCTTTTACCACATATTGTTCTTCAGAATACAACTGCATTGGCTTATAGTTATAGTTATTGTCTCTTTTTTTCAGGATGGAGATACAATAAATAGTGATGTCACAGTCTACTTGAATGTAAGATTACCAATTTACCATATTCTTTTTTTTTTGTTCTACAAATATTATACTATTCAAAACATACATAGCACATACATATCATATAACAACATACATCGCATTCTACTCATAGCACATAAGACCTTCCGGTCACACATAATTACCACTCTAGGTAAAGTATAGTGAGAAGACTCACCTCGTACAATGTCGGATAACCTCTCGTGCTCGATAACTCGACCTAGCCTCCTCCTATCAACATAATAACATCTCTAATCAATACTTTCTCTTGTCCTCATTTCTAAAGAATGGGTAGAAGACCATTCTACCACTCCCTGACCTCTCTTGAACCAGCTTGACCAAAACCCTAAGGTCAACTGAAGTCAGCTCTAGTCAACGGTCAAACTTTGACCAAACTCGTTGAGTGCACTCGTGTGACTCGGCGAGTCCATGCGTGGCCTCTTAATCCTCATAAATCTTCACCCGACTCGTCGAGTTAACCTTTCACTCGACGGGTTACCACTGGTCACGAATCGCGGGGCAACCCGACTCGACTCGTCGAGTCCCCTTATGGACTCGGCGAGTTTCCTCCATGGCAACACTCAAAAGACCTTCTGAGGTCAGATCTGTTTCTCTAACCTATAGATCTGACTTCCTAATGCTCAATAATCACGTAAAGGTCCAATCTTTACACTCATGCAACACACATAAGGCTTCTTTTGGTGAAATAGCTTCGAAAATGGCAACCTAGGCTCATATCTCCAAAGGAACAGCATAAAGCAGAATGGTTGGGACTCTCTGGACCTCTTAAGGTCCAGATCTAAGACTTTCTCCACATTGGGACCGCATATGCATCATATACTATCCAAGAAAGGGTAAAGAAAACCCTAGATTCAAGGATTCTACACAAAACAGAAGGAAGGGGCGAAATACTACCTCAGAATGGAGATCCTTGCTTGGATGTCTCAGAATAACAACCTCCTTTGGTCCTTCTAGCTGAATCCCTTCACTTCCTTTGCAAAATCACACCAAAATTACTTGATTTCATCACAAGAACTCTTCCTTGGCTCCAATGGCGATTTAGGGTTTCTCACAGGAGATATGAGGCGCACCCAAGGTCATAGGTTCCTTTAAATAGGCTCCAACCCCGGAACTTAGGGTTTTCTCTGCCCAGTACCTACTCGGCGAGTCCATACTTGGACTCGTCGAGTCCGCTCATTAAATCCACGTGATCAACTCGTCGTGACTCGGCGAGTCAGACCTACGACTCGTCGAGCCCCTCCTAAATCCTCAAAATTGAAACACGAACTATCATACCCGAAATTCCGGATGTTACAATTCTCCCCCACTTAATTTGATTTCGTCCTCGAAATCGCTCCTCAAACCACATAGATAGAAACCGAACACCCAAAAAGCACCACTCAAAGGGTCTCACACCAAAACGATATCTTCCTCCATGAATACCTGAACCCGACCAGGAACTCCTGAATTCGAAACAAAACCAGCCCCTCTGCCACTAAGATATCCCTTCTGACTTCCAAATATAAACCCAACAATCGGTTACCGATCACCCATGTCATACATACCCAACAATCTTGAATACACTTCCATAGACGAAAAGGGCACATTACACCAGAGAATCGTCTCCTGCCTTCAGATATAAGAAAGTGATCATGCTTCCTCACAATGTCTTCTAACATCTATAATCATAAGCCCCCACTTACTCTCAAAGATCCCTACTCCACACTGGGTACTAGGTCATCTCTCAACCAGCCATTAACTTCCAAAGGTTACTCATAACATATTCCAAGTGTCTCACTGACTTCCTTCTCACATCAACTATCTCGGCCCAGTGACACACAAGTCACGAAGTTCTCTTTACCCCAACGAATACTATACTCCCAACTGAAATCGTCTCACCCTCGACCTCAGCCGAAATAATAATCATTTGCCTCATGCACCTCATGGTATCTCCCGTACTAACAAACTGACCTCACTCGGGTCTAAGATATCGGGTGACAACAATACCCCTCAACCAATAATCCACCTCAGAATCCAGAATCTCCTCTCGCCTACCCAACGTACTACCAAAGCCAAACTCAAACTCGAGAGTCTGGTCCGACCCAAAGTTGGAACCACTTGTCCCAATGAAACAATCATCTCATGACTCAACCTGTAATCCATGCGAATACCATTTTTTTTCCAATTCCCTCATGATGCGACAACCACCACTCAAGTCAGAAGTTAACGATTCCCGACAATTATGGGGACCCCAGTCTCTTTCCTGGTTCGACCGCCAGGCTCCCAAAAACTCAACTATTAGGGCTACCCTCGCCCAAAACTCTTCTGCGTCGTGCTTTGATCAAATAGTACTTCCTCATAACCACCTCTTGCTGACTCAAGAGTACTACAGCTCCCCGTGGCATCGCAACAACCTCCCTCTGACTAGTGAGTACTGCGGCTCCCCGTAGTAATCACGACAACCTCTGACTAGTGAGTACTACAGCTCCCCGTAGCATCACAACAACCTCTGACTAGTGAGTACTACGACTTCCCGTAGCATCACAACAACCTCTGACTAGTGAGTACTACGGCTTCCCGTAGCATCATAACAACCTCTGACTAGTGAGTACTACGGCTTCCCGTAGCATCATAATAACCTCTGACTAGTGAGTACTACGGCTTCCCGTAGCATCACAACAACCTCTCTCCACTGAAATCCTCATTCTTAAATAATCCCTCCTGATGTCAATACCCAAGGGCTCCCACTGGTACCGTAGATACTCAATACGCCACTTGCAGTCTCAATCCAAGACTCAAAACTAATCCGAACTTCAGGTCATCATACTCGGATATCTCGACAAATTACCTCAGAACCTCATGATGTACTGCCTCAACCCCTGATCTCCTTCATCATTCACAGATACACCCACGCATTCCCTTAAAATCTCACAACAAATTTTCCTTTCATCACACGCCATTATGGAGTATCCCAACTCTCAATTGAAACATGAAGGAATCGCCAATGACTCAGAACATGTTGACGACAATCCGAAACTTCCTTCTATATAACTCAAAACTCATGCAAGAATACTCATAATGACCTCGAAGTTGTTGCTTAATCAGTTCCTGCCCTTTCCTAAACCGCATAACAACCCATACAATGAACCAGAATTCTCTCCACTGCCGGACTAATCTTACGAGCCAACCATCTCGAGTTCACCATAGTAATCTCGAAGAATTTCCTAACCACCTCAAGGTCTCCGACCAACGGCTACTTGTCGTGGGGACACTCATCCGTTCTCAACATGCACTACATGCATTATCTCGCTCTACGTCTCGCCTTGACCACCAATACCCATGATCTCATGAACCTGAACCACAGATCTCTATATCTAGATCTCTAACCGCTTTTGAACAAATCTCAGATCCCCTCAATAAAGTACCCGGTTCTCCCCCACTCAGGGCTCGGACCATCACCAATTGGCGCACTAACAATCTATCTCACAGACCGTTTCTGCCGGAAACATCACACTTACCCTTGGAAGGTGTTGTGCGATAATCTCCCCGATGGAGATTAAGCAAGTCCAATATCCCGGATTTCTGATGAAATCCTCAGAAACTTCTCATCATGACTGCCTCTAATCATTCCGAATCTCATACCAATTCATTACCAGACATCTCGACTGTCCAGTAAAAATCCTGACTCTTAGTTCGGAAATAATGAATCATCATACTCCTAATCCTCGACTCCCAAACCATCGTTCCATCCCATATGCTACAAACCCTTTACAGCCCTGCTGTAAACTCTGTCTCGCTCTGGCAGCCGAGCAAAATGTTGACCCACATCGGGTACCCTCGCCATATATTGTCAGTACTCCCCCACTAGGGTCTCGTATCGTCACCATCTGACGCTCGCAGTCTATAACAGCTCCAAATCGGCTCAACCAATCCATGCCCTCAATGACACAAACGTCCCCCATTGCAATCGGGACCAGATCTATCGGGAAATCAACACCGAAGATCTCGAGTACACATCCTCGAGTCACCTCAGTAGCATACACCGCTCGCTCGTCGGCTATAAAAACTCATAGAGGTCGACTCATCGCCTCTCTTCGGATACTGATGTGCTGGCTAAACGCTAGTGACACGAAATATCGACTCGCACCCGAGTCAAATAACACCAAAGCAGGTACAGAATTCCCAAGAAAAGTACCAGCCACAACATTATGTGATGTGCGGACCTCCTCCGCTGTCATCTGGAAGGCTCTCCCTCGTGCCTTCGGCGCCTCGGCCTTCGCTGGCCGACCCTCAGTAGCTCGTGTAGCAGCAGGGGCAGATCCCTGTAACAGCTGCGGACACTCGGCCCTCCGGTGGCCAGACTGGTTGCAATGAAAGCGAACCATGAATCCCTTGGGGAAATCCTTGGCTATATGCCCCTCCTTGCCACATTTGTAGCAAGCACCTGCTCGACAAACTCCATCATGTCCCTTACCGCACTTCCCACAAGTGCGGCCCTTCTGGCCTCCAGATCTCGTATCGGCGGGCTTTGCCCGCTTGGCTGCCGGCTGAGACTGCACCGGCCGCCTGTCCCTCCTCTGAGACTCGGCCTCCTCCCTGGCCTGAGTCTCTAGCTCAATCTCCCTCTTCCGAGCATTTGCTTGGAGCTCGGCAAATGTTCGGTACGTCGAGTTCGCCATGAACTCCCGAATGTCTCTCCTCAGTACGCTCAAATATCGACTCATGTGTGCCTGCTCGTTAGACACGTGCTCAGGGCAAAACCACGCCCTCTCATTAAACATCCGTGTGATCACCGTCACAGACTCCGTCCCCGACTTGAGGGACAAGAACTCCTGCGCCAACCGTTCCCTCTCCACCGGGGGAACATACTCATCTCGGAACATGGTGGTGAACCTCTCCCAGGTCACCGCTGTAATCTCTGCAGGAGTGAAGTCTGCCTTCACAAACTTCCACCCGTCCTTCGCTCCCAAGCGAAGCTGGTTCAGTACGAACCGTACTCTCAGATGCTTCGGCCAAGAACAAGTGTAGAAGCATCCCTCAATGTCAGAGATCCATCTCATCGCGGCTATCGGATCCTGAGTCCCATCAAACTCTGGTGGCTTCGTGTTGCTGAACTCTCGGTACAGCAACGAGTCACCCCCCCCCCCCCTGTGGCCTAGCAGCTGCGACAGCTGCGGTGGCTGCAGCAGCAGCAGCCTCCGTAACAGCAGCGTATCGCTCATCGAACTTCTCAATCAACGTGGTCTTAATAGACCCAAACATCTCCGGTATGGCCTCTCGTATAGCTGCGGCCACCTCATCATGAATCATCCTGCGAATCTCGTCATCGCTGACTTCGCTGCTCTCTGGTGTGTGACGTGTACCCACCATGATGTCTCACAACATAAACGAAATCAGAGACTCGTTCGAGTATACTCGTACTCGATCACCCAATCCTACTTGTTCCTGGGAATCCTAAGGATTCTTACTTGGACTGCTCACTGATCCGGTGTTTCCAGTAGTACAGGCCCTATACTACCTTCCACACCACATCAGTATTCACTCCAAGTCCTCCTCCTAGGATTCCAGATCACAAGTACTCTACATCTTATCACACACATGCCACTTTCCAGTAGACCTCTCGTAAGCTCCTCTCTGCTACCTACTCACTCTCGTAGTAACTCATAGTAGCAGTAACTCCTAGGCTAAGGTATCATAAATCAGGCCACTCTAGTCCTAGATATGAATACCTAGCCTACTCTCTAGCATGCATAACATATCACATAATATATCATAACATATAACGTAAGGGTATTTTGGGAAATCACCGTTCGGGCGCTGGCTGATTGTACACACTGCTCTTCTCCGCTTTCTTGAAAATCTTTTACTTATCTTAGAAAATTGTTTCTTTTGAAAACTTTTCTTAAATCCTCAGTTTGAGTTCAGATATGCCCGAAGGTGTATCCGAATCCCTTAAACCAAGGCTCTGATACCAACTTGTAACGTCGAGAAAATTCAAACCAATTTTTTTCATTCTTAGTTCATAAAACATATATCATATTGTTCAACACCAATTATTCACTTAACAAAGTTTTCAAAATCTTCACATAAAATCCAGGATCCACAGTAGCTCCTCCTAAAACATAGTGTGTGTGTACAATCATGCCTGTGCCTTCCCGCGGTCCTCTGAAGTACCTGAAACACATATCACATAAACGGTAAGCACGCATGCTTAGTGAGTTCCCCAAAATACCACATTCATATCGATTAGCCACTCGAGGCTATAGGTCTATGATGCCTTCCGGCCAATGTGTCTCAGTGGACCTTCCGGCTCCACAACTCGGGTAGACCTTCCGGCCCTACCCTGATGACCTTCCGTTCCTCGTCATCTTGACCTTCCGGTCCTCGTCATCTTGACCTTCCGGTCCATACACTGTTGACCTTCCGGTCCATATCATATTGACCTTCCGGTCCATACCATACTATTCAAAACATACATAGCACATACATATCATATAACAGCATACATCGCATTCTACTCATAGCACATAAGACCTTCCGGTCACACATAATTACCACTCTAGGTAAAGTATAGTGAGAAGACTCACCTCGTACAATGTCGGATAACCTCTCGTGCTCGATAACCCGACCTAGCCTCCTCCTATCAACATAATAACATCTCTAATCAATACTTTCTCTTGTCCTCATTTCTAAAGAATGGGTAGAAGACCATTCTACCACTCCCTGACCTCTCTTGAACCAGCTTGACCAAAACCCTAAGGTCAACTGAAGTCAGCTCTAGTCAACGGTCAAACTTTGACCAAACTCGTCGAGTGCACTCGTGTGACTCGGCGAGTCCATGCGTGTCCTCTTAATCCTCATAAATCCTCACCCGACTCGTCGAGTTAACCTTTCACTCGACAGGTTACCACTGGTCACGAATTGCGGGGCAACCCGACTCGACTCGTCGAGTCCCCTTATGGACTCGGCGAGTTTCCTCCCTGGCAACACTCAAAAGACCTTCTGAGGTCAGATCTGTTTCTCTAACCTATAGATCTGACTTCCTAATGCTCAATAATCATGTAAAGGTCCAATCTTTACACTCATGCAACACACATAAGGCTTCTTTTGGTGAAATAGCTTCTAAAATGGCAACCTAGGCTCATATCTCCAAAGGAACAGCATAAAGCAGAATGGTTGGGACTCTCTGGACCTCTTAAGGTCCAGATCTAAGACTTTCTCCACATTAGGACCGCATATGCATCATATACTATCCAAGAAAGGGTAAAGAAAACCCTAGATTTAAGGATTCTACACAAAACAGAAGGAAGGGGCGAAATACTACCTCAGAATGGAGATCCTTGCTTGGATGTCTCAGAATAACAACCTCCTTTGGTCCTTCTAGCTGAATCCCTTCACTTCCTTTGCAAAATCACACCAAAATTACTTGATTTCATCACAAGAACTCTTCCTTGGCTCCAATGGCGATTTAGGGTTTCTCACAGGAGATATGAGGCGCACCCAAGGTCATAGGTTCCTTTAAATAGGCTCCAACCCCGGAACTTAGGGTTTTCTCTACCCAGTACCTACTCGGCGAGTCCATACTTGGACTCGTCGAGTCCATACTTGGACTCGTCGAGTCCGCTCACTAAATCCACGTGATCAACTCGTCGTGACTCGGCGAGTCAGACCTACGACTCGTCGAGCCCCTCCTAAATCCTCAAAATTGAAACACGAACTATCATACCCGAAATTCCGGATGTTACACCTAGAAGACATTTTTATGTGGAAATGTTGATGATGCCACAAAACGACTTGTGAAGGTACACCTCACATTATAATTGATGAAGATTATTGGAAATGATGAATTATATTCTTTTCCTTCAGTTGTTTTGTTTTGTTTTTTTTTTAATTTTTTATGTTTCAATGCCATTTCTCCATTGATGACAATTTACTGAAGAGTGCCTGGAGAAAGACATTTTTGTTTGCAAAGATGGTGCTCTTTTTAGAAAAATTGCGAAAAGAATTAGGTCATCACTTTAATGGCGTATAAAAAAGTATACATTTTTTTATAAAATTTATTTTTACAGTGAATCATGTAGAAAAATTTGGCTATGGTGTTGTGGAGCGTTTTGTGGGACATGGTGTGGGAACTGTATTTCATTCAGAGCCACTTATAATTTATCACCGTATATTTTTTTTATTTTTTATTTCCATTATTTTATAAAATGTATCCATATATTTTTATAAAAGTTTTATAATTGCTGCTCTTTTCTTAGGTACTTTCACTACTCACACCTTATGAAGGGAAAATTGTTCTTGAATTAGCAGCTAGAATTAGTCGTTTTACTGGTGCATTAGTAAAAAAAGCTGGGAAAGTCATAGCCTTGGATTTCATTGAATGTGTGGTAAAAAATGTATGCAAAAACTTCACTCTGGAAAGCTGTATTTGTTACCTTCATAAGGTGGGAGTAGTGAAAGTACCTAAGAAAATACATATATATGTTTAGGGTTATAAAGCCATTAAACTATTTAAGATCTGACTCACTTGTAGTATTGGGCCAAAAGTAAAATCAATTATGTTCATACTGATGAGAATAGAGCTCTTTCTGAGAAGAAACAGAAGAAAATTGTCAACACACCGGCTCAAGTTGCAGCACTAGACAATTTCTATAATGGTATGCTCATTTCATTGTACTATAAGTATAATGCTATAATTGAGTATATTTTTTAAATTATAATGTTTTAAGTTTTAACACACCGCTGTTTTTAAACTCAAGTCAAGGAAACCGTGTTGTCAGTCAAAAGTGACAAAATAGAAATTTATGAACATTTAAGTAAACTTGAACTAACTCAGCGCCAACAGCGCAAGTAATTCCTGCTAGTTTGTATTAATTTCGTACCCATGGTTTTAGTTTTTGCTCAATCAATCCACCTTTAAATCTGTTAGAAGTTAGAACTTTATGTTAAATATTGATGAATTGACATTTTTTCCCTCAATGCAAATTTAGTTTGTTCCCCTTAAATGATAAAAGTCGGCGCCCTCCCCCTTCTTTTTTTAGATCTGACGGAAGATATATTAAAACACCCCAGCCTAAGAAGAAACAAGGCAGGCAATCAAACAACAAAATACAAAGTTTTACAAAACATTAAAAGGATAATACACTCAATCCACCCATTTACACTTCTTTTTCCTTCCTCTATGTTTCACCCAATTAAAAACTAACCAACTAATATTATTCGCCAGTTTGGGAACATTAGTTCTCACGTTGTTGAACACCATATCATTTCTCGTCTTCCTAGTGCACCAAAGATAACCATAAAGAATAGCCAATAGGATTTTTCGTTTTTTAGGACAAATACCCCAGACCGCAACGTACTCCAAGAGCTCTCTAACCGAATGAAACTGAGTAGGAGTGAGGTTACACCAATTCAGAATCCAATTTAAAACCTCACGCGCCAAAGGGCATCTAATAAGAAGATGATCGACTTCATCACTCCCAACATTGCAAAAACGACAATGAGAGTTGTGGACCGAAATACCCCTCCTCGAGAGAGCTCCAAAAGAAGGAATTATATCCATAGAGGCGCGCCACACAAACACAATAACTTTCAAAGGCACTAGATTAAACCAAATAGTTGGATTGTCAACCTGCTTTGTTATTTTTAAATCTATTAAAGCTCTTAAATCACACACATAAAAGGAGCCATCTGTCGAAATCTTTGAAGACCAAGCATCAGGGCCATTAGTAACAGAAATGAACTAATAAGCCCATCCAATTAAATGTTGAAACTCGTCGCTCCCATGGGAAATAAAACCCCTTTCGTTTTCAAACTACGAAGTCGGAGTCAGATTCAACACCACTAGAATCATAGGTGATGTCCTTTTGATTATGTTAACCAAGTGATTGAACAAAAATTGAAAACCAAAACAACTAAATTCATTCAAATTAAAATATTAGAATATCTAGTTTATAACCCGTGGGAACCATGGTTGCAAAATTAATTAAATTTTCATAGTAAAAACTCAAAACTATTAATCAATTATTTTAAATAAATTATTAATCAAAAGATATTTTTTTAGTTATATGAAATTGTAATCGTTGATTTAAATAAATACTAAACCTTATAATCTGTATTAATTTTATTTTAATTTTTATTATAATATTATTAATTTAATATAACTAGAGTGAGAAATTTAAAATTTAAAATTTAAAATGGAAAATCAATATATTGACAAGTGGCATGATATTAATTAGAAAACCTAATAAGATTTACACATATCAAAAGGAAAATAAACATATTTTTTTTATTAAAATATGGAGTGTAATATTATACAAACCATATAGATCACTTCTGAAATTTAGACTTTTTTTTATGTACAAATATGGTTTTTTTTGGAACCGGTGAAAATTTTATTAAAAAACACCTGTCTAAAAGAAGAAAGTCAGGGTCGGAACAAAATTACAAAACGTCAAAAGGTTTACAACACCAAACATCTCAATTACAGTTGCCGTAACAGCCCCTATATTTCACCCAATTGAACACCAAAGTAATGATGCTATTCACCAAATACTGCTGAGACGATCGAACTTTATTGAATACTTGACCATTCCTAGCCTTCCATCCGCACCATAAGAAACCATAAATGATGGCAATAATTTTTTTTCCGTTTTTTAGGACATCTCCCCCATTGGGCAGCAAACTCCACGAGACCACTGAGCGAATCGAATTGTTGGATTGGAATGTTGCACCAGTTAAAGATCAAGGCTAGAGCACCATTAGAGAAAGGGCACAAAAGAAAGGAGTGATCAAAATCGTCCAAGCCACCATCGCAATGATGACAAGAAGTATTTGAAATATGAGAAATTAAATTGTTTCCTACCTTTTATGCCTATAAATATTCCTACCCACTAATATTATTATAAATGTCTGTATTCTATATTTTTTTTAACTATTTCATTAAAAGTATATTAGAAATATATCAAATCAAATTAAATTGATTGGTGAAATGATGACATGTGTCATAATATTAATGGGTAAGAATATTTATAGACATAAAAAAGATTTTTTACGAGAAAATTTAATTTCTCTTGAAATATTAACCTTTCTTTTAACAAGGGTCTCAGCCGTTGGGAAACAAGCTCTCCAAAGGAATCAAATAACATTAAACGGGGCCACGCGAATCCAAAGGGATTTTGAAAATGGTATGTTGTCATTTTGAATTATCCCTATAAATGTAAATATATTTAAATTTTCTAAGATTTGTAATCTAAGAAAAGTTACGTTCACAGCTTTTTACGTGATGTTGGATTTAAAAAGGAAAGGCTCAAAACGTCAGTCAAGAAAATTTGTGTCAGGTTACACATTACATTTTCCCTTTTACTTTCCACTTTTTTACATACAATCACTTATTTTTACATAAATTGCCAAGTTAGTCCTTTTCTATTCTAACTTAGCATACGGTGATTTTCTAAAGAGTAAATTACGTTTTAAATCCCTACGGTATACATTAGTCTGCAAATTTGGTTCTAATTTTTGAAATTTGACAGTATTAATCCTCATAGTTAGCAAATCCATCAACTTTGGTCCCTTTCTCGGTTATAGCATAAGCCACTATTAGGGCTGTAAACGAACCAAACATGGTTTGTTCATGTTCGTTCGTTTAAGTTAACCCGAACAAATAAACGAACACGAACGGTTAAACGAACGAGTTTCATTGTTCATGTTCGTTTGTTTAACAAATTGTATTGTTCATGTTCATTCGTTTATGTTCGTGAACATGCTAAACGAACATAAACAAACAAAGATAAACAAACATATATGAACATGAATGAACATATAATATAGTAATGTAATCAAACACAATTAAACATATATGAACATAAAAGGAGTTTATATGAACGAACATATACGAACAACATAAACGAACATTCACGAACATAATTGAACGAACAAGATCATTGTTCATTTTCGTTCATTTAACTAAACGAACGAGAATTTTTGTTCATATTCGTTCATTTATTAAATAAACAAGCATAAACGAACTTCCCGCCGAACGGTTTACTGAACGTTCAGTTCGTTTACAGCCCTAGCCACTATGTTAGATACACATAAAAAGACAAAATTATGCATTTTTTCTCTTTCTTATTTTTAGATTTTCTTTTAATTAATAAACAAATAATTAGACCCACCTACCACACCTCACCCTTACCGTGGAACTTCTCGATAACACCCGTTCTCTGTCATCAATCATTGTCTCCGGAAAAGTATTGCCTCCACCACAATCTATAAATAAGCCAACCCATCCCCCTCACCTTTTTCGTCTCCAGTTAGCTACTACAACCACTACATGCCAAAAAACACCAACCCTTTCCCCTTACCCTCTCTGTCTCCGTCGAGCTACCACCAGCGCTATAGGCAAGATCGATGACGTAAGAATGAGAAGAATAGATAGGGGAGGTGTAGGCAACAACGAGAGTTATAAGCGATAAAAGTGACGATGTAAGGTAATGTCGCACTTGCATGTAAGACTAACTACCTTTTATGTGGATTTGTAAGTATGCACTTTACCCTAACTATCACTTATGGGTTCCTTGATATGGTTGGAAGTCGGGCCTTTTTTGCTTGGACACTCTCTTATAGTGACGATGTGAGACACTTCTCATTTTATGACTTTATGACTTGTGAGGTTGGACATATAAGATTGACTTAGGAAGGGTTAAAAACATATTACATTGAATCTAAATTTTCCAATGAAAACTGAAAATGAAAAACGAAAAGTGAAAAGTGAAAACGAAAAATGAAAAATGACAGCTGTTTTACTATAACTTAACGCGACCTTAATCATTTTGTATGGTTGCCGACCATCATCATAACAAAATAGAACCACAAGGCAGACATAGTTAAAATAACTGGACTGAAAGTGAACAATCATACAAGCAAAGGACCATTTATGTAGATAACTTTTTCTAAATTTGTTTGGAAAAGTTTTACTTTGATGCCCTTGTAAATAAAGAATGGTCAAATACCCAGATTTTGTAATGTTTTCAAAGTTGAGGATCATTTTTAGTAATTGTGTACCACACTCCCCCACTTCCAGCTGAAAAGCATAACATTTTAGCTCTGTCTCTTTTACGTTTATTTTTTATTTTATTTTTTATCGTTTTTACTTTTTCTCCCTCCCTTGGAAATATAATTTTGTGTCTTTCATGGGCTTCTTTTCTTTTCATCTGCAAATTCTCAGAACAGAATCTTTATTCACTCTCAGAACAGAATCTTTATTCACTCTTTGTTCAAACATAAGCACACGCAAATGCGTGTATCGCAATCTTTCTACAGAAATATTTGATCTTTGAGCAAGAAAATGTCTGAAACCCCAGCGGAGGTTTGCCTGGTTCGCTGCCCTAAATGTGAAAGTCTGCTGCCTGAAGTTACTGATTACTCTGTTTATCAGTGTGGTGGTTGTGGCGCTATTCTTCGTGGTATAATTTCTTCACCCCTCCCCATCTCTCTCTCTCTCTCTCTCTCTCTCTCTCTCTCTCTCTCTCTCTCTCTCTCTTTTTTTTTTCTTTTTTTTTTTCAATAAAGAAACTGGAATGGGGTTTAATGACATGTTATTTTTCGTTCATAGATGTGATTAGGATGTAACGTACATGTTTTCTGTGGAAAGTATATTAGGTTTTTTTACAGATAGGGTTTCATAATATACGAACTTTGATTTACACTATGTGTTCTTGATGATTGCTTTATGCATAGGTGATTTTGGGCGAAAATTGTATGTTTCTGTGAAAATTTTGATCTTTTTAGTTTTTTTTCAGTTGCGTTTTCATATTGTATATGGAATTTTGCATGATCTGAGTTTTTTTAGTTTCCCAGCAAACTAATCGTATTGGGTTATATTGTTTTTATTATTAATATTAACAGCAAGCCGTAAACCCATCCACTCAGCAAAAGTTTCTAATGAAGAAAACGATGGGATTTCAAACAATAAGTCTAAAGAATTACAAAATGTCAATTTCTCGAGTCAGAAAACAAAGAATTTAAGTTCAGACTTCAATCAAGATGATCTTAGATGTAAGGAGAGCATGCAGATTGATCAAAAGATGGAGAATTTGAACATAAATGGTGAATCGGGAAACTTGGGACCCCAAATAAACACTTCACGAAGACCTTTTCACTCCTCGATTAACCAAGATGAAATCTTACGGAAATTAGACGAACTTAAGGATCAAATTGTCCAGGCTAAAGAAAAAACTTCATTTTCTAACAATCTTATTAGATCACGACCTCCAATTCCATCCCCATATCAACATCCTTACTTTTCCAGTCAATATGTTAGTAAAGATTCGGATACTCGTATGCAATTTCACCATCCTTTATGTTCTTGTCTGATTTGCTACACCAATCACCACCGTCCCCGCCCTCCACCACCACTTCACTACTGCCATGACTATCGAAAACCCTACACACAGTGGTCAGGCAACCTTCATCGTCCCCGGAGACGGATTTTAGCTGCCGGAGGGAGGCGGTGCCGCCTGGTAGCTGGCGGCTCTCCGTTTATAGCTTGTTGCAATTGTTTTGAATTGCTTCAAATACCCACGAAAAGCTATGGAAAAACTCTAAAGAAATTGAGATGTGCAACGTGCTCTCAAGTGACCTTGATTTCTGTTGTCGACAAGAAGCTCGTTAGCAACCCTGAGAAGATCGGTGGTAAAATTAACAATGAAAATATGCATAAATGGCGTGTCAATACCATGGAGTTTTCTTCCAATGATTTTGATGTTTCGGGTGATTTTGATTTCAAATGGTTAGATAGAAGTTTATCTTCACTTCAAGATCATTTTGATTATTCAACATCGATTTCCCGCCAAAGCTCCATGAAAGATGTTGCCACTGAGATCAAGATTTTGTCAAACGAGTATTGTGTTAACACTGGTACATCTCAAGAATCTTTGGATCAACAAGATGATACAGGAGGACATGAATCTTTCTTGTTGGGTATGATCAAGAAAAGCTTCAAGCTTTCAAGATCTAATGATGATGTTGACCATGGAAAAGTCAACGTTATGGTCAACGGGCATCCGTTGCCTGATCGGGTGGTCAAGAAAGCTGAAAAGATTTCTGGACCAATACAACCAGGGGATTACTGGTAAGTCCTGCATGAAATTAAAACACACAAATGTTCATCATGTTTTGATGGAGTTCTTGTTTGTTTTGTTGCACCAGGTATGATTCCAGAGCTGGATTCTGGGGCATGATGGGTGGCCCATGTCGTGGCATAATTCCGGTAATTTCTTTTGTGACTCATTTTTTGCAAATTTGTAAGAGGAGTTAGGACTTAATGCATGGATAAAAATTTAAAGTGTCATTTATCTGACTTTATTTATTAAAGCGTTCTTTCTGCATTAAGTCAAAAGGAAACTTAAATATTAGCTTAAGGGTTAATAATCAATTAATCTTGATAGCTATACATTGGCTATGTCTTTTTGACTTGACCCGTACATAATGACTTAATGGGTTAAACCCCCCAAAAAAATAACGGCTTATTGTTTTAAGACACTAACCCTTTACCCATTTTCTCTTCTTTCCATCCCAACTCCTCACACGTTAAATTTTATAAATATTGAAAATTTTGTTTTTAAGTAAATTACATTTTTGGTCCATGAGTGTAGCGGACTTTTGCTTAGGTTCCAAAATGTTCTCTTGCAATTTTGGTCTACATTTGAGTTTCTTGTAATGTTTTTGGTTCCGGTTTCAAGTAAAATGACTATTTTTGGTCCCGAGTATACGCTGATTTTTGCAATTTTTGTCTAAAAAATATAGTCATTTTTTGGAACAGAAGATAAATAAGGACCAAAATTGCAACTTAGTTGTTCATTTTGTTTTGGCAGCCATATATCGAAGAATTCAATTACATGATGCCTGAAAAGTGTGCTGATGGGCATACAGGTGTTTTTGTGAATGGGCGGGAGTTGCATGAAAAAGACTTGGATTTGCTTGCAAGCAGAGGGCTGCCAACCGATAGAGATCGATCCTACATAATTGAGATCTCTGGGAGAGTGCTTCAGGAAGGATCCGGTAGCGAGCTTCAATGTCTCGGAAAACTTGCCCCTACGTAAGTTCTCGTACATTAATACATATATTCCCATTTTACCCTTGGCATAAAATAAGTCAAAAGTCAAAATTATCTTTGTGTTGACAGAGTTGAGAACAAAAAGCATGGATTTGGGATGAAACCCCCGAAAATGATGGCTTAACAACGGATTTATGGAATTTCAATTGTTGCACTCCAAGAAAATCTTGAATTCGTGTTATCGTTTCAAATTTACTAATTGGTCATATATTATTAATTAAATTAATCCTGTTACTTAATGTTGTCTTATCACTTATAGCATGTAACTCATAACAACCCATCTATGCATTAATCAATTAATTTTTATTTCTTAAAATATTACCTCCAAGTATTAATGCCATGCATTCAAACTCTGGTTTTCTGACTTTTCTCTATCTATAGATACAATCGAAACAAAATCACCAAATGAGTTAAATTGGCTTAAATGAATGGAAAAGATCTTCAGTCACAACTCACAACTTTGTTTCACACTTGGAGTTCCAAATCTCCAGCTTGATCATCACTTCATCGGCATGGCAGTAGTAAGCATATTTGTTGACCCTTTTTATGACGAATAAACTTCAACTCATCAATTTGACAATTTAAATACAATTTTGACGATAAAATATTTCTTTTCTATCAATTTGTTTTTGTGATCAACCAATTTTATTTATATTATTTAATTAATTTTTGTATAAGTTGTCCATTTTATAGTCATTTGGATCCACACCATCACTAAAAGAATGGAGCTAGTAAGTCGTAATTCTATGGTCATTGATGCATACTTCTGTTCTTTCACATGTTTGATTCCCACTAAAATTGCAACACAGAAATTCCGTCTTAGCAGTGCTGATATGTAGTTCTTTTTCTTCTAAAGATGTCCTAGCATTCAGCTTGTCTAAACTATGTCGTCAGCAAAAAACAAACATTATATGGGTCATTAATTGAAGAATGTTGCTTATTTTTATTTTTATTTATTTGTTTTTTTAATTATAATAGTTATGTACTAAATTTGCATTCTTTTTTAGGGCATTCGGGAAGCATTGATTACTATACAATTTAATGGATTATCAAATCATCATTATATTTTTCATACAGCTATCATTTTTTCTCGTAATGTATTTATTTATATAGAGTTTAAAAGAAACATATAAAAACAAAAAAAATGATGACATTTATTTAAGGATTAAAAAGTTTCATTTTGCCCATTGAAAACTCCAAGGTGTTATCTACTATGATTGAATTTAAAAGTTCAATTTATGACCATTGAACTCCAATGTGTTATCTACTATGATTGAATTTAACTATTGAATGCCAACCGGACAGAGTTAAAATATAAATTTAAATATAAAAAACTAGATAAAAAATTGAAAAACCAATCTTATTGAACGGAAAACCAAAAAACGAAAATTGGCATAAAGATGCAATTGATTTCCTAGAAAACATTAAGAAACCAAAAACTAAAATATAATGATTTTTATGATAATTATACAAAATATAATGACTTTTTTTCAGTTTGGTTTCATCATATAAAAAACTAAAAACTAAAATTACATGTATTGATTTTTTGTTGCAGTTTGGCTCGTCCATCGACACCGCATCCATCAATGCGTTATGTAAAAATAAAATGATACTTATTGATTTTTTTGTTGCAAGTTTTTTGGTTTTAGGTTCAATAAAATGCATTATAAAGGGGGGAGATGGGTATATATAGCGAGCAAGTCCAATTGTGTCTCGTCGACAATAATAACTTTTGTGAAGATGATTTACGTTTTGACGATGGAAAAAACTTAAATTTCAGTTTATGTGTGTGTTTACCTATTCTTAGCGTTTCTTAATTATAGTATTTCATTATTCATAATGTTTGAGGAGTAGTTTCTAGCATATACTGTGAGGTAATTATTTATTAATTTGATTATGGGGAGTTATTGTTGGACAAAATTACAAAAATGGTCACTGTGGTTTGCCAAAAGTCATAAAATCAGTCTCTTCTAATTTTTTTTATGCAAATGGTCATTATGGTTTGCAAAACTTGCAAAGTTGGCCATTTTTACTAACACCATTAGTAAAACGCCGTTAGAGACTGAATCTGTAAGAGTATTTTCGTCTTTTCAAATATAAAAGGACTAAATTCATTACATTTGAAAAACCACAGGGACCATTTTTGAAATTTCTTTCAAAAAGACAATTAAATTGCTAAGGGGAGGGATCAAACTCGTGACCTCTACTTTCTATTTTGTCCAACGACTTAACAGAGCTAAAGGCTCACTTGTTTTTTACATTCTAAAACTCATTTATATAATAATAAATCGATAAAACATAAACAATAAATAAATTAAAAAAAACATTTTTTTTATATAATTTTTTTTAATAAAACAAAATGTATTTTAGCGTATTATAAAAAAATACGTTTAGAAAAAGTATTTATTTTATGTATTTATTTTACATAAAATGTTTTTTTTAATAAAACATTTTTTTACATATTTATTTTTATGTATTTATTTTACATAAAATGTTTTTTTTATGTCTTTAAAAAAATGTTTCAATAAAATGTTTTCATATAAATGTTATACGTTGTAATGAAAGGCAAAATCGGCAAAATTAGTTTTTTTTTGGCCCAATTGGTTTTCTAAAAACCTTTTTTCGGTTAAAAAAAAACTTAACAACAATTTTGTTATATGTATTTAAACAATTAATATTTTTTTTATGTCACAAGTAGTGTTAATTATTGTTATTTTAAAAAAATATATCTTTATTTCTTTTCATCGTCAATTTAACCATACGATTTAGAACTAGCGGTTAAGTTGAAATACGTATTTTAAATAAGACATATAACCGAATAGGTTTTATAAGTGTTTTTAAATACATATAACCGAAAAACGATTTTTAGAAATACATAAAACAACATATTTTACGTAAAACAAATACATAAAAATACGTTTTATTTATTATTTATGTTTTATCGATTTTATTATTGTATATATGAGTTTTAGAAAAAAAATACGTTTTGTTTTATTTAAAATGTTTTTTTTTTGTAATTTACTAATTTTTTTTATAATACGGAAAACACGTTTTATTTTATTTAAAAAAAATTATGTGAAAAATATTTTTTGTAATTTATTTATTGTTTATGTTTTATTAAAAAAAATATGTTATGTAAAATAAATACTTTTTCTAAACGCATTTTTTTATAATACGCTAAAATACATTTTGTTTTATTAACAAAAAATATGTAATTTTTTTTAAATTTATTTATTGTTTATATTTTATGGATTTATTATTATATAAATGAGTTTTAGAAGGTAAAACCAAGTAAGCCTTTATCTCAAGTGGTTAAGTCGCTGGGCAAAATAGAATGGTGAAGGTCATGAGTTCGATCCCTCCCCCTAGCAATTTAATTGTCTTTTTCAAAGAAATTTCAAAAATGGTCTCTGTGGTTTATCAAATGTCACGAATTCAGTCCCTTTATACTTGAAAAGACGAAAATACCCTTACAGATTCAGTCCCTAACGGTGTTAGTAAAAATGGCCAGTTTTGCAAACCACAATGATCATTTGCATCAAAAAAAAATTAACAGAGACTGACTTTGTGAATTTTGGCAAACCATAGGGACCATTTTTATAATTTTGTCTTGCCTTTTATTCTAGTGGGTTTATAGAAGAATCAAGAATGTTGTTCTATTTTATTTGGAGGTTTTTCAAATAATTGGAGTTCCGGGCCAGGGCACTAAGTAGCCACAATATATCCTTTAAGATGTAATAAGTTGGAACCATGCATCTTTCTTGAGATGATTATTACTGTTCAGAAGAGATATACTCTGTCTTTGAACTCATGCATATTCATATGTAGTTGACTACCTCTTTATGAGAAGGTAATCATAGGACCACCCACCAAAACAAATAAATGGATTAGTATATATATATATATATATATATATATATATCTATATATATATCTATATATAATCTATATATATATTATATATATATATTATATATATATATATATTATATATATATATATTAAAACACTCCTAAAACTGCCACGTGTCGCGATTATACACTACTACCTTGCCACATGTCAATCTTCTGGCATTTTACTCACTGATTTTCCCGCCCAATTGCTAATTGCTGTATTTGACCATCATACCCTATAAATCCGAAAAGACTCCATTTTATCCCACGAATATCACCCCTCTTCCGATTACAGTTTCCATGAATATCCTCCAATTTACGCACACATTTATGTCTAATTGAATGATTGAATGATTTCAAAATTCGTTTCAAGTTTTAGCTTCATATTTAAATTTTCAAATCGAGGAGAATGGCGACACATATGCATCCAGTTTGAGGAGAATAGCAAGTCATTTGATTACAGGAAGTTAAAAACATCATCAATAGATAGATGCATGTAATAACACTTGATAATGTTGTTATTGATTTTTTCCAGCTAAATTTAACCTTTTTTTTGTAGTTATGTGAGAAGTAGAACGTTTTATTTCGACTGCTGCCTCTTCTATTTCTTTTTTCTTCTTTCTGCTATTCAAGTGGTGATCGGTTTGATGACAATTGGCGAAAACCAAAGAAGGAATGACTACCTTATGATGAGTACAAAAAGACAAGGGAAGAAAAGTATAAGCAAAAGGAGAGAGACTTTTATCAAAAGGAGGAACCGGTGCATGAAAAGAAATCAGATTTGGAAGACATGCTTACAAGATTTGTGGCCGCATCCGAAAAAAGACACAATGATGCCGATGCTACACTCAAAGATCAACAAAATATGTTGAGAGAACACCAACTTATGATGAAAGATCAACAAGCCTTGCTTAGGAATCAGCAAGCATCTATTCTCAACATAGAAAAGCAGCTGGGGCAACTTGCACAACAAGTGAATGAGAGAAGACCGGGTGGACTTCCTAGTAATACCGAAAGTAACCCGAAAGGTGCACATATAAATATTATGACAACTAGGAGTGGGAAGATTATAACTCCTCTGGCCCCTATTCAGCAAGAAGATCCTAAACTGGTGCAAGAGGATAAAGAAGAACATGAAGAATCGAAGAATCCCGACTCGACTCGCCGAATCGACGTTACGGACTCGACGAGTCCCCCACCTGAACAGAAAAGCCAGCCTCCTGTCAAGCCATATCAGCCTCCACTTCCCTTTCCGGCTCGAGCTAGACAAGAAAAAAATGAAGTTGACTACCAGAAGTTTCTGGAACACATAAAGGCTCTCCAAATTAATATGCCATTCATAGAAGCGGTTGCACAAATGCCGAAATATGCCAAATTCCTCAAGGAGCTTCTAACTAATAGGAAGAAGATGGAAGAGGTGAAGAAAGTGGTCCTAAACGAGAATTGTTCAGCTGCCATGTTGAATATACTACCTAAGAAGAAGGGTAATCTGGGAAGCTTAACATTGCCTTGCCAATTTGGAAACTTAGCCACCATTTATGCATTGGCTGATTCAGGAGCAAGCGTAAATCTCATGTCATACTCTTTTTTCAAGAAGTTAGATCTTCCGGAGCCAAGGCCAATTCGAATGGCGATTCACCTAGCAAATAAAACGGTCACATTTCCGAGAGGAATATGTGAAGATCTATTGGTGAAGGTTGATAAGTTCGTATTTCCCGCGGACTTTATAGTTTTAGACATGGAAGCGGATCCTCAAGTCTCGATAATACTTGGAAGACCTTTTCTTAACACCGCAAGTGCTATAGTTGACATGCGTGATTCTAAACTTACCCTTCGGGTAGGAGACGAATCAGTCACTTTTGGAGTCGATCAAGCCATGAAGCATCCAAGGAATAGCGATGACACAGCATTTTCGGTTGACATGTTGGAAGAATTGATGGAGGAATGGAACGTAGATGAGCCGAACAAGTCCACCGTCGCATATGAAGAAGAATTTGATGCGGAAAGAGACCTGCTGGAATTAGAAAGACTGCTCGAGGAAGCTGAGTATAATGATCTAATCAGAAGTGCAGAACACCCGACTCGCCGAGTCGCCTCGACAGACTCGACGAGTC